CGGGGGGTCGGTAAAGAATTTATGGAGCGAACACTCACCTATAATATGTCGCCGGAGCTGGCGGCTCTCGTCGTTTTCGTCATCGGCCCGAGACGATTGTGCTGATCCTGACGCGATCTACAGTAAATGATCTTCCTGAAGGCCTTGCGAAAATTGTCGCTGAGGAAAGCGTAGAGAATAGGATTGACACAACTGTTCGTATAAGCCAAGACATGGCTTGCTATCTGCAGCATAATCGTTCCCGAGGACAGCGGATACATGTCTAGTGACTTCACCACCAGTATTACCTGGAATAAGCGACATCATGATTTTAAGGATAATTGTGTGTGTATGTGTGTGTGTGTGTGTGTGTGTGTGTCTGAGACGGCAATAAAACTATGCATATTTTGGCATGTGACAAAAAAATTTCAGCGCACTTTTGAATTATTTGTATCTTAATGAAGATTATTAACACTTTGCATTGTACTATATTGAAATTTTAAGTTTCCAACTTTACTGATTGATTAATATTATTATAAAATTTTTTGTTCCATTCGCGAAGGCTAGGAATTAATGTTTAATGAATTGGTTATTTTTATATTAATCGTTATATTTATATTAATTATAAGAAATAACAATATTATTAAAATGGTAGTGGTGGTTTTAAAATGGTATATTTATCAATATTGTCAACAACTATTAAGAAATGTTGCTTATAGTCAAATAGAGAGAAATTATTGAAATATTTTATTCTATAATCCTTGTATTAAATGGATTAAAATTTAATGTAACATTAATATTATTACATTAATATATATATATATATATATATATATATATTATTTCTTACGCTATAATATATATTTTTATGATTTTGAGCTAATTCAGCGCTTGAACAGCAATAAAGAACTTTTATTATTTTTATATTTTATTTTCAAATTTTACTTGTCGATGCCACATTAAATTGTATTGATTTTAAATTTAGATAATCTTTCGTTTCATACAAATCTTAATTTTCATCGTATAAAAGTCTGAATTTTTGAAATGACAAAACTAATAGGCATTTTTACTTCAATTTTATTCATTTATTTTCGAATACTATAGGAATATTTTATCACCTATAGAATCTTTATGGGAATTCTAAATATTTCCTTTAAGCAAATACGTTTACTTCTTATGTTATAAAAGAGTACAAATATTAGTCGTTTTTTTATACAAATGTTTATCTAAACATTTGTATTAATGCGTTGAAGTACTTGGCAATAGAATTCCTTCTAAGGGTAAATTCTTTTTATTCGTAACAAAAAAAAAAAAAAAAATCATAATTATTATTATTCAAAATATGTATCTTTTATGGTCTGCAATAATTCGAATTTTTGATATTTTGATATGAAATTTAATTAAATTATTTCAAATTTTATTTTTATGTACGTGATTTAAAAATTTTAACAAATTTTCACTATAACAAAATGAAAATACTTCATTCAAATCCTACGAAAGCTATTAATAAAACTAAGAGAAAACGATATTTTGACTCAATTAAGTTTTTTTTAAACAATTTTATTATTAATTTTAAAATTAACTTTTTATTACGGGATCAATGTATACATTGAAAATACTATTGTTTGGTATTTATTGTTTATTTATTATTAGTTAATGAAAGTTCATTTATAAACCAAAAACATTGTATTACAAAAATTATTTTAAAAACTCGAAATATTTTATTTTTCGTAAAATAAAAAGTACATTTTAATAATTATATTATATAATAAATATATAATAAATGACCATATTCATCTAAAACAAAATAGGAATAATGCGATCAGCTTTATTCTTTTGTTACAATGTCGATCGAATATGAAGCTGATAAATTTTATTATCCGTATATTATATATTTTATGATATTATATTTTTTATACTTTAATCCAATAAAATACTTAACATATTTATTATTTTGGTCGAGTGTACAATAAAATGACCAATTTTTATTTTTAAAATATTATTGAAACATATTATGCAAAATTGCATAAAATTCTATGAGACAGTCAATCGTTGTAAAACATTAATGAAAATATGTAAAGTTAATAACTCCATTTCGTGATATTTTATTTAATAAAATTATTACTGAAAATTGTTGATGGCTAAATAAATTTCTTTTTCTTAAATAAATAATTGTATGTAAGTACAGAGTTGAATAATACGTAATGATTGAGTTATTGGTCGAACTACTTGATGTTATAAAATATATTAATCGAATCGATCATTATATAATTTATATCCTCATTGCCCTTACAAGAAAAGTTATATATAGATAGATTGATAGATATATGTGTAGTGATTATTTGTCGATGTTAGAGTCTCGTTAATTGTTTTTTATTTGTCTAGCCAAGTATTTGTTCAATTTTGTCAGAGCACGACAAGGCTAATTGAGGGAGCCTGGCAATAGTAAGGACCGAGGACTGAGAGTGACAGATAGACACTACCATGTGTTTTCTTTGTTTTATTATTATGGGGAGATGCGACACGTGTTTGACTGGCACTGTTCGCTGTGGAGATGAGGCTCCACTAAACGTATATGGAGAGTTTACAATTGGTTAGCCTAAATTAATATAATAATAAATTCAAGGTATAAAGGTAATAAATCCATGATATTGAAGGCTTTGTGATTGAAGAAAATATAGTTGACAAAATATTGTACAGTATATTTAAAGGATTTACACAATAATCAAACATGAAAAAAACCGTTTATACAGAGTATGAAACTTGTATAGAGAAGAAATTAAATCCAACGCATAGGAGATGAGTAAGCGTGTTTTTATTAAATTATAAAGTATAATATAAGCAAAAACATTGACTTCGATAAAGATTTGATAACGAGTGATCTGAAAGAACGTAAATAAATTATGCGTTTATCGAAGTTTATCGAAATTATTGTGAGTAAAGTTAACAAATTAAAAACAATTCTAAAGTAGGTCCTATCGAGTGTAATTTTCATTTATTATCAAATTTACTATTCATAATAGCAATAAATTGAACGATAGTCAATTATACGTGTCGTAAATTGCTTATATAAATAAAATATTTGCTAAAATATTATTTTAAATATTGGAAACTTCAATTTCAATCGCCACTAGCTACGTCACAATGCAAAGAATAAAAAATCTCACAAGTCCAAGCAAAAGTTCGCGAAGCTAAGTGAGCGTGTATAGTAAATGCATGTCACCCACCTGGATGGGACACCAGCAGATGGCGAAAACACCGACTACGACGAGTACGAGCCTCGTCACCCTCTTCCTACCTCTACGGCTCTCTGCGCTCACCCTCACGCCCTTCCACAATCTCAGTAACATACAGACGTAGAGGCCACAAATGAGGGTCAGCGGTACGACGTAACTCGCAAGAAAGAAAGTAACCTGGAAGAGGGGCCGATTGGCGTCGGGTAGAATGCGGCAGGCCGTCTGGATTTCCAGAGCCTCGGTCTCGGTCTCGGACCCGGACTGATCCCTCGAGTGCAGGGCGCAGGGGAAGCTCTGGTTCAAGGCCCGGATCTCGCCATACTGAAACAATGTTTATTCGAATCGGTGCTTACCCTAATTCAAAGCTCTCTTGATACTTCGGAATTCGGTGCTTCGGGCATTGCTGGTTGGTGGTGAAGCGAGGCGACGTTTACCGGGACGACTGTATATTTATTGTAAGGCAACTTGGATTGAGATATTTTCGATAATTGGATAAATAAATACAGGCGAAATGAAGTGCAATCAAGTACGGCAATTAGTGATTTTTCCGCGCTTGATAAACGAAGGGCAAACATTATTTTTGTTAAATAAACGATATATTTTTATTTAATTTTTTTTTTTTTTTTTTTTGAAACCTGTCGCAGCTAAAGCTCTGTAGCGGACAAATCAATCATAATTATTTTACAAAATGTTTAACGAGAGAAAATAATTTATGTACATATTTATATTGTCGTAGTAGTTTGTGTTATTATTTCACCGTCGATGTCTCGTTCAACATATTCACGAAGTTTGTCATTATTGACACTATTAATCAATAATAAAGTGAAGTAAAATTATTCTATACTTATAATAAAAGTAATGTAAAATTATTAAAAAAAAAAAAAAAAAAAAAAAAAAAAAAAAAATAACAAACATTACTTTCTACATGCTTTAAAGCATAAAGATTCTCTACATCAATATATTTTTCCTCATTCGTATTAAATCTAATTTTTTTGTATTAAATCTAAATCTCAAATCTCTTGTGCGTATTACTGAGAGAAATTCTTATCCTTATTAAACAAATATGTACTTGGTGTAAAATTACTTTTCAATACGTCAAACTTTCAATTTAATATTTGTAGATATACAATTCGTTTATAAATAAATACTAATATCGTCGATTTAATCGTATTTTTGTGGAAAAATATTAAACATAAAAAAACACGTTCGTATTTAAATGCCACTTTTTCGTATTAATTAAAATCTGTAGTTACGTTTATCTTTTATTATCTTGTATTTTGTAATTTGAATAGTTTAAAAAGCATTATTTACTTCGCAATATAAAGAAAAGTAATTAATTTGTTTACTTGAGAACTTTTAACTGGTAAACGAGAATATGTTTCATCAAGTTTCTAACCAAAAAACATATAATTAGTAAAATATAATTAAATATAATAAAGTATAATTGTCAAGTGTAATTTGCAATTGAAATAAATCAGAGTAGTAATAAATTAATATTAGTCTTTCCATTTTATGTTAGAACAACTTGGTTATAAAATAACTTTCCGATGTTATTACTTTAATGAAAGTATGTATAGTTTATATGGGAGTGAGGTAGCAGTTTTATGATATAGCTTCATGTAATTTTTATTTTATAACTATTTAAAACAAAAGAATTTCGAAAGCCACTTTAAACAATTTTCACAAAAGCTTTTAATATCTATTAAAATCTTTCCATACTTTTTAATAAATGGTTTGTAGTGATTTAGTTTTAAAAAAACTTTGACAATATTCTACAGATTCTAATAATATGCAATTGTTTATTGTATCATTATCAAATAATGGTTTCTTGGAGGAGAAAAAGATATATTTTCATCATTGAAATATTTTATTATACCCGTAATATTACATCAACTAAATTGTAATATCAAATTGTAATAAATTCTACTATGACAAACAGCTGGCTGTATGTACAATTTATCAAATCTTAGGAAATTTTTATTGCTTTTTATTACGTACGAAATGGCGTGGCTTACGGTATTCCATCACTTATTCACTGGATTTAGATAGGGAATACCTTGAAGTCTCGTAAGTCTCGGAAAAAGGATCGAAATAAGAACCATAACACTTATCATCGTTATTACTCAAGTCCTTGTATTCGTTGCTATAGTCGCGAGAAAGAGAGATGGGAGAGAGAAGTAGCGTAGAAAACATATAGCTAAATATCCCGTGTTAACTCTAACGTTAATGTACAGAGGGTTGAGTTACGTAGGCGCAATCCGACGATTCCATGGTTCTTACGCGGTCGATTAAGACGAAAAGTAAAAGCACTTTACTGACAACCGGTAATGTCACATGACTCCACCCATCATTTAATCTCAATAACTAGATCATTTTTCCCTCGTATAATTGATTATAATTGATTCATCTTCCTTCTTTTAGTCTATCAATTTGGCATGGATAACATATTGTTTGTTGTATGATGAAAACATGTTTCTTTTTTTTTTTTTTTTTTTAAGATTTTACAATTTTTTATTGTTTTTTTTAGGAAGGATTATGTTAAATATATTACATTTTTTAAGGAATTTCCTATTAAATTCTATTATATTTAATGATTATATTTAATGAAATAAGTAACAATTTTATTTATATTATACATTTATTTGCATTCTATGGTTAAATATATATTTACATGTAAACATAAGAATATAAATATAAAAAAGATTACGTGATTCATTGGAAAAGAGATAAATTTATATCGAAACTCTAAATACCTACTATCAATGCAACAATATCAACGTAAAGTATTGTTACGGTTTTTCAATGGATACATACTATAACCATCCAAATTCTAAAGAATATAGTTACCTAGTAATAATTAGGAAATAATTAAAACCTATTATCTATTATTCAAACATCAAATATTGAAAAAGAGAATTAATGATTATGAATTAGTATCATTGTTAATTGGTATTTTGTACAATTTTTTTAATTCATTCATTTATTATACTTTATGATGCAATATTTTCATTAATATTTAAACGGGAAAGATACATAAACTAATAATAGAAATATTTTAATGTTAATAAATTGTTATAATAATACAGGAAATGTTTGTAATGATCAATTATAATATATTTTCATCACCTAAATATTTTACTTTATTCGGTCGAATAAATATTTCTATGTGTTATATTACGTGCAGTTTAAAAATTGTATACTTTAATTATACCATTATTTACGTAATTAAAATAAGAGGTAATTAAATTTGAAAAAAAAAAACAAGTTAATATTTTTACAAAAAATATTATTTTAGAAATCTCTAAATGAAATTGAAATTTTTGAAATATTAAATGATCAAATATGTGAATAATTGAAATTTTTCAATATTAATGGAATACTTGCCCCGAAATATAACAGCTAGATAATAATTGAAAAAAAAATCTTTATAATTTTCTACATACTGAAACAATGAGTCTGGCTGTTTAATTTGTTTTAAAAACCAAAACAAAACGTTAAAAACAAAAATTTACTCTCGAACTTTGCCGGCTAGATTGCAGTGTACGTCACTTTATATCATACTTATATATGTAATTGTATTTTAATTAAAACTAACCATTTTCCAATTAATTTCTTCTATTCTATTAAAGAATTGTTTTGCTTCATTAAATTTCTAACCAATTCGGCGTATTGTTGCTATAATATAATAAATATATTTTTTACCGTAACCGCTATAAAGAGAAAGCAGTACAATATTTTAAAATTAATTTCAAAAAACGTTTGTTAAGCTTATATTAACTTCAGTAGAGTATTTTTTAATAGAAAGGCAAGTATAGAATGAAGCCTGAAACTCTTGTAAATATAATAAACCATTATGGAGTAATTTATATTTTATATTAACGTCTGAACAATTTTACAACGCACATTATTTATATATATATATATATATTATTTGTACGGCAAAAATTATTCATTCATTCTACGAATAAGTTATATGTGTGATATATATATTAGTATTTCGAGTATAATTATAGTTACGGGTGCTAGTTTTACAACTTAACAATAAGCATTGGACAATTCAATCGTGTATTGGAGTAACGTCATGGAAATGTATTAAACAAGACTAGAGTTTACGAACAAAATGAATGATTTTACTCTCGCAAAACTTGGAATACTCACCTCACCGTGAATAATGAGTGCAGGTATAGAGGATGTTAGGATCACTATCCAAACAATCCAAATGGCGGTGAACGCGTGGCTCTCTGTTCTCACTGACATGGAAGCAATCGGATGCACAACTGCTAGATATCTAGAAAGATTCATAAATACGAATTTTAATAGCAATGCTATTTATTTGTTTATTTGCCTTTTAATGTATATGTGCATGTATGTTTCTCTGCCTCCTCTATCCTAATGGAATCGCACTTTCTGTTTCTCTCTCTCTCTCTCTGCTACACTTTTATCCCCTCATTTTACAACATTACTACTTTCCTTAACTGTTGTATCAATATACCCTACTCCTACAACAAATTGCAATTGAAATTCAATAATAAGATATATTTTATAATCTATTGCATTACATTTATATATTTTTCTTTGGTAATTCAATTTTCAGAATTCAATGAGATCGACGCTACCTTACACTACGCAACCAGTACTATTTTAATAAAAGTTTTCAATCTGTGCATTCTCATGTAGAGGCAAAGATTTTATTAAGTATTATATGACATATCTACGTAAATAATACATTTAATGTTACGTATTTCTACTATAAAATAATCTAATACCACATTTGTATACTAATAATTTAAAAATATTTCATTTTCAAAAGCAAATATTTATTAATTATTACCAATTTAAAGAGATTTTTTTTCATATTTACTGTTTATACACAACTATTATATATATTATAACAAAAATTGAACCAATAAAACCAATGTCATCGATTTTTTTTGAAATATAAATTAAATTTCAATATTTAAAAATTATTAATTAATTGTAACAATTCACTAAATAACCGTTGTTATTATTCAGAATTCATATATAATTGAATTTATTAAATAGACTGAATTCTTTAGTTTTTCAAATTTGAAAACAATAAGTATGGAAAATTATTACACATTTTATAACAAATTTCAGTATTAAATTTCAAAGATTATAAATTGCTATGCATAATCTTATGGATTGATACAATTTTAATAAATCTTTTATTGCCAATTTAATTTACGAAATAACTAAAGTATTCATTAAATTATATCCAAATATCTACCTTATAATTACAAACGTAAAGATTATAATTATTACTCAATCGAATTAAAAAATAAAACATTGAGATGTAATCTTATTATCTTATTCGTGTAGAATCATTGATTGTGTGGAATTGAAACATTTCTCACGAAACTTAAGTCAGAGTACGTAACTTATTTTATGTAAATTAAAAAATATATATATTAACAGCTTAAAATTTATAGCGAAATTTAATGTTTTTAATATCTAAAGCATGATATTTTCATTTTATCGATAGTAATAGAGAATTACTAATATTTATTTGTTTTATTCTAAATGAAAGAGGCATAGTTTCCAAATGAAGTGATACATTATACATCATAGAAGTCAATTATACCTACGTACAGACTCCTATATGCAATTATTTGGTTAAATCCTTAAAAGTTTCTACTCGAGTTTCTTAGAGAAGCTTTAGTTATATAGTAGAAGTATATATCAGGTAACTACTCAAGTTCACTACTACTCTAATTTCTTTTCATTTTCATAAATATTGTTTCATCAGTAGTGTTCTATTCAGAATGAAATTAACTTCCCTTTCAACTTAATAAGAAGCGGATTATTAAAAGAAATTTTCACAATGACATCAAAGAAATTTTTTTTTTTTAATTTCTAATTTTTAACATTTTTTCTTCTTTCGTTAATAAATAAGAATTCCAGATAACGTTACATATTTTAATTTTATTTTCATTCATGATTCATGGGCAATAAAAAATTTCTATAATTTGTATGACAGACGTATCACATAACAAAGATGCCCTTCACATTGCGATTCGAGTATCAGAATAATTCGTGCAAGAAAATAGCGTACAAACATCTCTAACTCAGTTGAAAGAGGATACGTCGTGAAAAAGGAAGATCTTTGACTTTATTTCCGGTACCTTTCATCCTCCATCTTCCGCTTTCTTACGTAAAGTAATGATATGCAAATTTGAATTTTTATGTTTTTAAACCATAAATTGAGCTTGTTTGAGCCTTTGTTAAAATTAATCCAGCTAGAACTGATAATTTATACGCAAAAGTAAAAAATATTATACCGTAAAATAAGAGAAGGTATTTTCTATGTTTTACTTCTAGTTTTAACAATTTTTTATATTATGAAAAATATACAGTGTAAGAATCGTTAAAAACTCTTGCCTCTTCTATTTCATAGGGGGAAGGAAAAAAAAAGTTAAACAAATAGAGTTGAGATTTAAGTTTGACAAAAATCTACTACATATTCTGAAGAAAGTAAACTGGTTGTAAGACTTTTAAACAATATTTATATTCATATAATACGTGACGTCGATTAGCTGAATGCTTCATTCAATTTAATTTGGAAGCATTTAATTGATAATGAATACTAAAGTACAAAAATACGGAATTGTATGCTACAAAATATATACCTAAATTAACTGCGGTATGCATAATTTAAAAATTTAATTTCTTTTTTTTAATTGCAGTTTTTTAATAAAGCATCTAACGTCAGCCATCTTAAAAGCAGCTTTAATAAGAGCTTTATTTGGCTATATGTTAGATTTTATTAGTAGTGTTATGAGTATATATCTACTAAATAATGTAATTACAATTTATAAGTAACTTTTTTTATTAAGTTGGCATCGTTAATGGCAGGATAATAGCGTAAAGGTGTAGATTAAAATTCTAATGTTTTATTCCCTGCCGGCTTTATATAGAAGTACACGCTAAAAAAACTGTTATTACTTAATGAGTTGAAATATCACGAAAAACGAAAGATAAATGTGTGGTATTAAAAAAAATGTTCTTCTATTCCTGATAATTATTCAAAGGAGGAGCAAAAAAAAAAAAAAAACAAACAATAAAGACCAATGAAGAAGACGACGACACCGTTCGTAACAGAGAGACTGACGGTACCCTTTACGAAACTACTACTCGTAACCGAAGTTGCCCTTTTATTAAGATTAAAACGATTTGCGACTGTTCAGTCAGTCAGCCCTGCGAATCGAATATACTCCACGTCGACAAATATGTTCTCACACGGACTGTCAGTCGGCACACTCTCATCGAATGTCGACGGTAAAAGTAATATATATTGATAGGGGACACCTCCATTCCCGCCTTTCATTGCCGCTTTCCGGAATCGAGGCCGAACGTCGGATCAGCACTGCCAAGAGAAATGAAAAGCAACCAGATCTACTATGATGGGCATTGTCAAAGCAAATCACAAGATTATTCGTTGGACTTTACACAGAACCCGTCATCGCCCGTCCCAATTACGATAGTAACTCTTCGATTAAACGGTACTCGGCCGGCAAGTATACCTGCATAGACATTAAGCACCACTGCTCATACAGTCAGTCATGCTCCGGTCAATGAGTTAACGGCCGTCGCTGATGAAGTTAATGTTCCGTGACACTCCCATCCGACTCAACCCTTTATTCAGTCTCGGGGGGCAATACATTTCCAAATGGAAGCTGGATGCAACGCTGGAGTGCCAAAGTAAGCAAAAAAAAAAAGAAAAAAAACACGACGATAGACACTCGATTGTGATGTTAACCAGTCGATGAGTACATTTTCATTCAGAGAAATGGCGGCGATGTTATTTATAAGAGGTATCAGCAAGGGAGAGATTTGTCAGACATTGGGGATGTATGGTCACGAGCTGGATTTATTCCACCCTTACCACGCGCATAACAGCTACATATTACAACGTGAAGTGGTCGCTTTACGTGCAATAGCGATGGAAAAGCTTGGTGGAAGAAGTTAGAGAGAAGGAAACGAGAAAGAAGGCGATTGATGCAGTTTAATTTCTTCCAATGGGATAAAAAAGTGCCAAGACTCACGATGGGGGAGGAGAAATGCAGTTGAGAAAAGTAGAATATAAAGAAAGACATCGGCTTAATAGTAGTTAACGACGCAGCATCGGCGGTGGAGCAAATGCAACCCTTGTAAACCGCCAATCGAAATAAACTACGTACTTTTCAAAGGGAGTAAAACTATTGTCAACGTAGTAATTAAATTATTTTTACATGGCCCTAGTTTAGTCCACTTTTACATTGTCAGGGCGCTTAATTGGTCTATTCTATTTCCGGCGGAAGGAAAGGACTATTAGTGCGATGGCCACCCCTTTTTGCTCTCATTTTCACAATATATTTTAGTTTTTGCATTAATGTAATAGTTATTTTATGTAAGATAATAGTCAAACATTACGAAATTTAATGTTAATTATTATCAAAGATAAATGTTAAAGTAGCACGAGGTTTCAATTAATACAATTTCAGCGATTTAAGAAATATTATTCGCGTTATATATATTTTATAAGAATAAAAACTATCGATCAATAATGAATTTTTAATATTCGTTTTAGTTTAATATTCAAATGATATTAAATCTCTCGTATGCTCGATAATTGAGAAAATTTAGAGTAAGTATTTACATAAATTATTACTGGCAAAATATTTACAGATTTAGATATATATTAAAGATATAGATTGATATATAAATTGATGGAATAATGAATTAACGAGGAATGGAAATTTATGTATTTATTATCTATTGAAATTTTGTAATTAAAAAAATGTTTATAACGATTAGTAAAAAACATTCTATTTCTATATACTTCAACAAGTAAAATATTAATAAAAGAGAAATTAATTATTCATAATAAATTTCAATTTTATTGATATATTAAAAATCTATTTAGAAAATATAAAATGAGATAAAAAAGTATATATAATAACCGTATGTTGTGATTTCACGAAATGTTTCATATGAAATTATTATATTTTAATTTCCCATTCTAGGATAATTATTTTGAGATAAATTAAAATTATCAAATCAATACCGTGATATGTTATAATGATGCCTTATCAAAAATAATTAAAATTTTAATTCAATTTATAAACAAAATATTTCTACAATTTTATATGCTATTTATAGCTGTTTAATCATCGGTTTTTGGAATTGAATTAGTTTCATAATTATGTTAAAAGAAATATTATTGCCCAATTCAAAGGTATATTCAAGAAAATTATTTGCATTAAATTAATTTAATCAACGAAGTTGAATTTTGAAACTAATGTCTCTCAGACACATTTCTATCATATTAAATTAAATATTTAATAACGATAATTTTGACGGTTTCTACAGTAATCAATAGTTTTGTTAAGTCCACTGTATAAGTTAACTTATTTGGCGAAATGTTTTTTCTACAAAACATACAAAATATATTGCAATTGATCGTCCCAGGAAAATATATTTTCACATAAATCGCGAAAAGTTTTGCTAATAAAATAATTATCTACCTAATTTCAGTATTCATTCAATCTTTTGAAAAGAAAACTAATCGGAAATATATAATTTAATATCTATACAATGATTTTACACACAGAGGAGTGTCTTCTACACAGCTCTTAAATTTTCTACAAGGGCAATTGATTTTCAATATCTGGCACGGCAACACGAAGGCGATTTTCATTCCATAAATTCCATACTCATATGATCGTTCTACCTAATTCATCGATTCTGCACTCTGCTCTACGAGGTCACTACGACACCAGAAAGAATGAGATGGAAAGATAGACCACTGAATTTAGATAGACAAACTTGAATACAAATTGTACGTATGTATATACGTAAATGAATTATATATATATATATATGTATATATTTCTACGAATTGCTTATTAAATTACTAATATACTATATAAATAATTTCGGTTTGTACTCTGCAAAATAATACTAAGCATACAGATTTATCAAAAGAAAGGATAAAAAGTATCGATAACATAAATGTACGAAGAAATTCAATGGCAATGTTGTTGATTTTTCTTATAGATGAACGGATGATTAAATCAGATGATTGATCCTTAGTATAATCGTAACGGCCGTGCATTGAATGTCTTCGCCTTTTCTATTAAGTATGTTCTAAACAGACGGACGCTTAGATCAAAAGTTAACTGCAAAGTATAAATAACCAATAACTCTTAAAGAAAAAATAAAAAATATTCTCTAGTTCAAGAAGAAGCGAAACAAAGCAAAAAACGATAGAAAGAACAATAATGAAATAAATAAATAATTTAACCGTTACCCATTTGTACTATGTGCTACAAATAATTACGTAGGTAATTTTTACATTTCATTATCGTCTTAACTTTCATTCGTGCATACTTTACGGCATACATATTTCTAATATATTTCACAAGCATTTTGCATTTCGTATAAAGATAATCAAATTTGGTCTATCAAAATATATAATTTCATATTATATTATTCTTGTTACTATGATGTATTTTTATACATAAAACATATACTATAAATTATTATGATATTCACATTGAGATTTTGTATATCTGAAGTCGTTTCTTAATCATCATGTATAATGTAGTATGGCAGTATATTAATTATTCATTATGCATATAATTATATACGTAATATATGCATTAACAGTATAATGTATTAAATCATTATGGTAAATTGGGTATAGTAGTCTATTAATTATTGTATTATAATTAGTTAACATATAATTGTGATATAGAAAGTAATACAGGATAAGGAAACTATGCTCTGGCCTCTTTTATTAAGATTTATTAATTTATTATCATTATATTTTGCCAAAAATTAGAAATATAGTGCTTGGTACAAGAAGAGAAATGATACAAGAGAACTATTTGTTTGCCATGACGATATAAGGAAGGTATGATATGTCAAAATGTCCTTGTTATTAAGTTTGAGAGAACCAGAAGGACAGCAGTGTACTTACACCTTTATACAAATTTCTTCTTTATATACTCTCACCTGCCTAACAATCTGCCTTATAGAAACTATATTCATTAGCTAGTATAATCAACTGGTTTTATTTGCTAAAATTCAAATTTGGTATTATATTTATATTAGTCTATGTTAATCAACGTTAAAAATATATTTATATCAATTCAATATTGTATGTTGTATGAGTGAATGTAGTTTATTAAATAAAGTATAAATATTATTGAAGACGGAAAGTTCCGAAGTATAAAGTTATTAAAATTACTTGCATACTCTGTAGAATAAACATAATGTTGTCTTCCAATGAATAGTTCGATAAAGTTCTGCTATTACTATTGAAAATCATTTTGAAATTACTAGTAAAGTCGTTTCTGAATTAAAAATGGTGTGTACCATAAATCACAATTACCTATCATATAAACTAATAAACTGAACATTTATTAGGTGAAGCTTATGCACTTTTGTTAAGCAATATATATATATATATATATATATATATATATTGAACGCATTATATGTCGTGTAAAAATCAAATGAATATAGCGAAAGTAACTCTCGGAGGGTGGCGTCCTTTGTCGGAAAACGTGGCTAATTCGATTTAGCGAATACTCACAGCTCATAAAGTTAAAGATACAAAACAAAAAAAAAACAAAAAAAAAAATAAGTGGAAATTGGTAGCGGTCGTGACTTGTTTATTTCAAGATCCATATTTGGATTATATTTTTTAGTCTTATCCTCAGTATATTTTTAAAAAAGTCGTCGGGACTTCACTTGAAATCTAGTTAAGCGCTCCATTTATACGGAATATGAGGGGATGGCGCTTGCAGGCAGATTAGAAAGCAAACGCCTCTTATGATTGGAACAGTACTACTGCGTGGATTGGCAAGTATTAGAAGTGGATCCTCGTTCGAAATGGCTGAGATTCGATGACAGTGAGAAGAAAAGAATGGAATGGGATTAGGGTGATAAAGGTTCGGAGGATGTACCTTTGGAAAATCTTACGTAAAAGCCTCGTGCGCTCAGCCCTCGATAATAACGTCCATGATATCATGTCGAAATATTTTACTTTGATTTTGTTTTAAAAGAGAGATATTATAGGCCTTTAAAGCAATATATAGTTCTATATTGGTTATTTCGTTGAAAATAAATTATTTTCCGAATTTTAAATTTTAGAATCAATTGCCGCAACTTATATGACTTGATTATATAATGACATTTCTGACGACACTTTACAATAGCTGCTATTTCAAATGGTATGTATTTTTTTTTTTATCCCATTAACACGCGACCGTTTTTATATCTAACAGAGTTTTATATCTTCAGATTTTCGATTTTAAAATCTCGTAAATTGGTCGATGTTGAAAAATTCGATCTTTAAAACACTGTATTTTCATAATTTCGATAAATATCTTCGGTTTGCTCAAAGCCACGTTAAACTACAAATTAGCACGTTATTTTAAGCGCACCGCATTCTTTGTTTAATCAATTTTTTTAACTAGAGTTTTATTCGAAAAGTAGGTCACTTTAGATATTAATGAGATTTTTTACATTATTATGAATCTGATAATCGAGCTTCGGAAGACAATTCTTCTTGCAAATTTTTGTACACCAACAACCAATAGAACCAATATTTACTTTATTACTACAAACGATAACTATTCAAATCCGAAATTACTAAAGATTTCAAAAAAAAAAAAAAAAAAAAAAAAAAAATACCATCATATGTATTTTCTACGGGCTTTTAAAAATCTCAAGATCCAGACTACGTTAGTCAGCCCTCTAGATGACAAAATACGTAAAATTATGCTTTTTGACGTTAATTTAATCTGTCAAAATATTCTCTAATATTTTACAGAAATTTGTCATATATAGTTTATGCACGTTCCTCTCACCTTGAATAAATAATTAATGTCCCTCGGAAAGTTCTAACCCATTGTCAGTCTTAACGAATTTAAACGAGCTTTATTAATTTGAAATGTCAAGTCACCCAACAAACACATTTTAAAGGGTCTAAATCACGGATAGGATAGTTCAAAGGAACGGCTCCGGGGACTTACCTGTCAAGACTCATAAGCACCAGCGTGTAGACACTCGCACATGCGGTGACGATGATTAGATACTGTACGACCTTACACCATACATTACCGAATGGCCAATAAGGTAAGACAAAGTCCGTGGCCGTAAAGGGTATGCAAAAAAGAACGAAGAGCAAATCGGCGATAGCGAGGTTAATGATGAGGATATTAGTGGTGGAGCGCATCCCGGGATTGGCGGCAACGACAATGACGACGAGGGAGTTGCCGACGAGCCCGAGGATGCCGATCAACCCAAAGAATATTGGCACGACGACGCCAACGATATTCTGGACGAGGACGCGGTCGTAGCCAGGATCCTCTTCCTCTAGCTCGGACTCGTGGTAGCAAATCGGCCGCGGTAGCGATGACGTCGTCATCTGGTCCATCATCACTCGCGTCGCCGACGCGCTTACGTTGCTCCACAACACTGACATGCTGTACACGATGACTGATGCTGCAGGGCTGCAGAAAAGCATTATCATCTTATTAATATTTGATAGCGGTAATGGGATGACTACGTAAAATAACTTTACGCGGAGTCATGAGAAAGCAGCGAGTGGCGATTAGGAAAATACCTTAGATCTTATTGCGTAAATGACTGCGAAAGTTTTATAATTTACAATTGTACAGGGCTAAATGCAATTTTAGTTTCACATTTTTACCCCATGCAGTCTTTGCAAATTAAGAGTTCAACAAGCCGGGAATGAAAAATTAAAAATCTTATCTATTCCTTTAAATATGTAAAATAAAATACATAATTATATAATTGATTGCAATTATATAATTGATAATAAGTGATAACATACTTGTGAATAACTATATGTGTGTTTCTCTCATGTTTAAATGAAATTGCCATGGCTTTGTAATACCTTTTACGTAAAAACTTTCATATGCTAATTGCTAAATTTTATCAACAGTAGAATATCGAGTCTAATTACTCTATTATTTATTTAACATCTGCAATTAATACAAAAATGTGATGCAATTTTCAATTTAGAAGCTAAAGGCTTTGAATTTCCTGTTACTACAAAAGTTATGCCGAGTTCGGTAACTTTACATCATATTGAAATATCGAAAACAAAAAAGCATAAAATCAATCCCAAAACTTTGAAACTTTGTAATTTATTCAAATATAAAATAGTAAAGTGTTAGTATTTGTTAATTATTAACGTTTCTCTAAAAATCTTCATATTATTATTAAATACCTACATTAGAAATTAAGAAATCAGATTAATTTTATTCCATGACGTTAGTATAATTATTTTGTTTACTATTAAAAAATTAATTTTCCAGAATGAAAAGGCTACTTTATTTTTAATTTCGCTGAATTTTTATATAGTTATATTAATATTATGTTGGTTATATTCTGAAAGAACTGTAATTTTCCAGATTTCTTTTACTTGTGAAATCGTTACTTTATTAAAAAAATTAAAAAATCCTGAAAAGCATTCATAAAAAACGCTTTTAATGAAATTTCGAATGAATTTAAAAAAAAAAATCATGATATTATTATTGAAAATTTAATGCTAATAATTAATTAATTATTTCATACATAATAATTGTTATTACTTATCTAATGAAAATTTAAATGACAATAAAAGTTTTGTAGTATTGGCATTCTTTTAAAATAAATTTGTATCATATTTTAATTCAAGTACGAAGTGAATAATATTCTACAATTATATCTCTTTTTTCATATTTCTTTATTATTTTTTTCTACTAAATATTACATTACATTTCTTTAAGTTATTTTCACAAAGATGAAAAATACTTGAAATGCAATGAAATAGTTTATAGCAAATATGCAGGATCCAACAAAATGACGTATAATATTCTGTAATTTTATTTCTTTTCATAATACGTGTCGTTTATTTACATATTTAATAATAATTAATTTTTTAATAATAAATTTTTTCATAAATTATGTAGAAATAAATCGTGTGCTCGAAAAACTATTTAAATTGACAAACAGTTCGAAATTGATATATATATATATATATATATATATATATATATGTATATGTATATATATAAAATTGTTAGTATTTTAAGAAGAAAATTGATGAAAAAAGTATAGAAATGTTCTAGCCTAAACATATATATTTTTTGTCAAGAAAAATTTATTGTAAATTTAAAAAGACATTGAGAAATTTTATTATATTTATAAACAATAATAAAATACTTTAATAATTTAAATTACTTTCCATGATTTTTCAACAATTATGATTTCATAGAATAGTCAATTTCAATTGAAACTTCGATAACATTATAGAAAAATTCGAATAATTTTAAGATTTCTCTAAACGCTTGATATGCTATTGTGACTTTGTGACTTTGTTAATTTTAATAATATGCAACTTGCAGTCTAACAGAATCAGTACTGCAAGGGGGAAATTTTTAATTTCCATACGTGAAAGTGAATAACGTGGAAACAATACATAATTTTAATTGTAAATATCACTAAACAAATATATTATCTTAGTTACGGAATAAATTGCCAGAAAATTGTATTAAAATATAATTATACATATTTTCGTGATTTTTGCGCATTTAACCTCTACAATTAATGAACTAGATAAATTATTAATAGAAAAACTCAAAATATTGGTAATAATTATTCCTTTTTTAATATTATTAATCAATTGTACTAAGATTAGGAAGAACGAAATTTTTATAAACGATATTTTAATCGTAAATTTTTAATTATGTATTTTTATTTAATATAAAAATAATGTTAAAAGATTTTAGACATATTTATAAATACTCAATTAAGTATTAGTAATTAAGTAATTAAGTCTAGCATTTTTCAAAACTTGTATATTTTCTGATCGATATATTCTACTCTACTTAGTAAGTACTTATTACATAATAGTTAGTAGTTATAGTACACTCTGACTTATAGTAATAATTAAGTTTAATAATTTTTTTTATTCGATATTATTTAAAATAATAGAATTTTCCATTTAATTTTTTTTGTTTAATTCATAACTTTTTTTTTAGTACAATTATTGCTAAAATAAAATATAAATATAATTCCGTTTAAACCTGTAAATGCGTATATGTACATGTTTAAGGATAATTTAGGAAACACTAAAAAATAATTAGGTTATGAATATGTAATTATGCGCGCAAACAATTACACAGACGCGCGCGTATATATATATATATATATATATATATGTATTGTATTTGAAAATGTGCTAATAAGTAAATTTAATAATAAACCAACTTAATAAACAATGAGTATCTTTTCATTAATAATTTTTATCTATCTATGTTTTACAACCATTTAACACATACAATCTGGAAGTAATCCGCTATTAAAGGTGCTTTATAATGTTGATAAGATATAATTTAAGTGGTAACAATAGGATGTAATCCAGAAAATGTGCCACTGATCCCGTAGTGGTATTGAATATATAAAATTAGTTTAAAATATTTCAGAAATATATAAAACGCTGAATTAGATTACCATTTTTATTAAATAAATTATGCTTTTGTAATTTATCACGCGCTTTATTTGAAACAAAGTCTTTTTGAAATTAATATATTAAGTAATATTTTTGCGTGACACTAGGTTAAATAATTCTTTCTTGTATATATATATATATAAGAATATATATTACTTAATCATTGTTAATACTAAAGTATATAAATATTTTCAATAATTTATTAGCTGTCAGTAAATTTCAGCAATTATCAAAACGTCTAAGACTTTGCTTTAAAAATTGTTCTCTATATTACTATTTCTATTTTGAAATTTTTACGATTGCATTTGCTTGAACCTTTTTTCTTAAAACGAAATATTATATGTTGATTATCTAAATTATATTAATTATTATTTTTTAATTGGCACACTTTTAAAAACTCACGATACACTTTTGTGTATATAAATAATTGCAGAAAAGGTCAGTTATAATCGATATTCTTGAATGTAGTTGAATATTTATATTTAATTTTAATATTACATCGTAATTTTTGTAGCAAAAAGTCTAAAAAAATGTTATATGCATTATAAATAGTTTGTTATTGAGATGGAAATAAAATAAAGAAATACAAGTCATTTAACCAGATATCGTTCTTCTATCTTTAATATTTATTTTACGTTCTAAAAATGATATTTGAATATTAAATATTATGTTATATCGTTAGAAAATGAACGCTGCATGCAAAAAATGTTTGAATGAAATCTAAATGAAATGATGTAATAAATAAAAAAAAAAATGAAAATTAAATTTCCTTTTTTATGATTATCGAAAGCTATTAAAGAAAATATTCAATATCAATTTAATGCTAATTAAAATTTTCGAATGTTAACTATTTCTTCTTTTTTTTATAATCAATATAAAATACAATTATTACTTGCGTAGATAAAATGCGTAAGGTTCAAAATTTCAAATCTTCACATAATTATAAAACTATGTAAGTTTAATAAGTAGATATAATGGAAAATAAAAAGCTTAATTTCGTCATAATTACAATTTTATACCACTTTAGGTTCTTTTTAATAGAAAAAGAAATTGACGAGTATAAATCGAATTAATTGAATGAAGTATTCTGGATGTATACACCACCTGTGTATTTTACATAATTTGCTAATTTATCTGATATGTTAATGTTAAAATTATTCAATACTCAATTGAGAATTGTAATTTTGTTCGTTCGATTAGTAAAACGAAACTTCTTTTAACATTATACGAAAGTTCAGTGGATAAAATCTTATTGATTTTACAAGTTATACTCATCGAACGTTTATAAATGTAAATAAATGAAAATGATACACATAGATTCACAATTTCAAATACAAATCAGCACCTATTTTTTAAATTACTTTTAATTACCTTTAATTATCATTAATTACTTTTAATTACTTTTAATTACTTTTAATTACTTTTAATTACTTTTAATTACTTTTAATTATTACTTTTAATTACTTTTATTTACTAATAAATTAATTGAATATTGCGTGATAACTATAAAAATTCGCTAACGAAACTTACGAGAGTAATCGTAGGCTTGAAATATATTTTCCACTAATATTTCCGAATTGTACAAAGCTATTGATAGATTTTGAGTCATCGAAACATATTCTTTATGATCATAAAAATAAATATAGCATTAAATAATCACTAGAAATAATTCGTTTTATATCGACTGTGTACTATTTCGTAGACTATACAGATAATATTCAAAAGCTAGAAAGACCAATTGTGCCAAACACAAAATCGTCATGGTTATTCTCGTAACTCAATAAAGAAGCATTAACACATTGAATATGCTGGCCATATCTCATGCTCGAAAAATAAAACAAAAAGAAGAAAAGCCAAGAAAAGCAAAGGAAGATTATATTAAAGATAGCGTAGATTATGGGACATCCTGCACAAAAGCATTGTTAACCATGTAGTGTGGCGTAGCTATAATATAGCAGTTTTCTCAAAACACGTCCATCGAACCAGCAAAAGTATGCGAATTTACCCAGCCTTGCTGCATGTCCAACAGTGTCTTTCGCTATCACGCGATACGCCAGTGCCACCAAAGATCAACCACCCTGAGGCAAGGCATTTCCTTAACAGTCTATCTATCTATCTATATACATTTATTTACATACATATATATATATATATATATATATATATACGTATGCATGTACAAAATATTATTATTTCTAGTAAATTTTCCTAATGAACTTCCTTAGGGCCAGGCGCCCTCTTGCAAATCATAATTTATCTCGCAGTGTCGGCTGTTGTTACTATACTCGCGCTTCTCTGTCGAGAGGTCGAGCGCGAGGAGACGTGAACCGGTGAACGCGCACTATCCTCGATTACAGCTCCATATCTTCATAAATTGTGAATAAGCGCGCGTTTTAATGACACGTAAGGTCCCGGCGCCCGCACCAATGTGACTTGGAGCACAGAACCAATGACAACATGACGCTTAACCCCGGCGTGGCTCCGGGGCGTACATTGACGACCGAGCGACATCGACATCGACGGCTGATCTCATCTTACGGGAGCGCCGCGGCTCTCGTTCCGTCCCTCCTCCCTCAGGAGAAAACGAGTTATCACGCGCCACGATTGAAGCCCGAGGGAGGAAGGTGCGCTCCCGCCCTCTGCGATGACGAGTGCAGCACGACTGTCCGCCCGTGGCACGCGGCAGCGGCGAAATTAAATTTCGCTCCTCTTTAAGAGCGGCGGCGAGGGCGATGCTGCGCATGCTGACTTGACTCGACCGAGTAGTTTTTTCCCTGGGGGGGTGGCTGGTACCGAGCCCCTGTTGGCATCCGTCGACGGCCGAAAGAAGCTGCGGTCCGTTGCCGACCGAGCCAACTTCCGGTGGTCACCTAAGATTATGAAGGCAGTGGTCTGCAATAGGATTACCGACCGTTGGATAAGGTAGATTCGGTGAATTGGCAGTTGCGGTCGACTGCTGGTGCGTGGGTGGAGGTCGATGAATACGATTTACACACTGCATCTTTCGTTTTAACGATAAAGTCTAATAGATAATGCGCGCCATAATTATTTTTCGTAGCGATGCAGCCGCCAAAGTATGATGTTATAATTTTAATTTTCCAACTTCTCGGACATGGCACAACTCCGCGACGAATGTGTTTTATAAGATTTTCTGAGAAAAAATTGCAGAAGCGGTTATTTTAGTATTGTCAATTGTAGTGTGCCAAATTTTAATTACCACAGCCTGTAATATCAATTTTATTACTAATCAAATCTTTGTTTTAATGAAGAAAAAAAAATGTTTTATAGAATTAATTTTACTATTAATTATATACTATTATATATTTATAACTTAATATACATTAAGCTTGTCTTTTAATAAAATTTTGAATTGAAATGTTCAAAAATTTGAATTGAAATCAAGTGTTGTAAAGAAAAATCGAAAATCTAAATTTACATGCAATTGAGATTATATTTCAATGATTGTCTAAATTTTTAAATAATCTACATCAAATATATAATTTAAAGTAAAATTGAACACATATTTTTCCAATTCTGTTAAATTAATTATATATGTATATATATATATATATATATATATATATGATATATAAACGTATAAATTATTAAAGTCCAGAGATTTCAAAAAGATTTACAACTGGTATTATACAGAAGAATGTTAAATGTCATATTTCTTATAATAGTGAAAAATAGTAAAAAAAAAAGTCAAAAATAAAAAATCTTTAGTATTGATTCATTTTTATTTTGATATTATACGTTAAATCATTGTATTTGATTATTTTCACGAGAAATTTTTTTACGAAAACTATAATAACTAAAACAAAAATATTATCACTAATAAACACTGGCAACAAATTTTTTATATCCTATCAAATATAAACATGATAATGAAATATCCTATTATAGGCATTTGCAGTTGTACAATTTTATCATATAATAATATATGATATTTAATTGGATAAATAATTCGGAACATATATTCATGAATAAAATTTTATTAAATTAAATATATTATAAGGTTGATTATATGTGCGCTTAAATAAAAATATAAATATATATGTGTGCGCGTGTGTGTGTACGTATGTATATATAATACAAAAATAGTCAACCATAGGATACAAAAGATAAATATAAATAATCTCAAATATTCTCCTTCAACTTTCTTATTCAACAAGATCATGTACGTGTATATGGCACTAATATAATTACGAGTAATATGTAAGCTTCTTGCATTTTATGAGAATAATAATTATACTAATTAGAAATTACAAGAATATTTCCAATTTAGTTTCTCCCTGATATTTTGTCAATTATAGCTTGAGTCAATACACGTTGAGCAAAAGTCTTAGCGTATTCTGTAATTTGATCAGTAAGACTCGGCTTCTTTGTTGTCGGTGATCCATAGTTTGGATTATATCCACCTTGGGGTGAATATCCACCGCGATTATTGGATGGATAATTTGAATTTTCTGCACCTCGATTAGGGTACCCACTTTGATTCGGGTACCCACCTCGATTAGGGTATCCACCTGATTGAACAGGATTGCCTCCGTAAGGATTATTATATGGATTTGGATATGATTCTTGACCGTGATTGTTTGTATTGGAGCTGGTTCTTCTAGACGAGGAATTTGGATATGCTGGATAACCGCTTCCACTTGATGGATAGCCAGATCCTGATGGGTAGCCCGAGCCTGCAGGATAACCAGAGCCGGAGGATGTTGGGTTGCGATTGCTTGTTGCTGAACTTGGTGCTGGATAGCCGGATCCTAATGGGTAGCCCGAGCCTGCAGGATAACCAGAGCCGGAGGATGTTGGGTTGCGATTGCTTGTTGCTGAACTTGGTGCTGGATAGCCGGATCCTAATGGGTAGCCCGAGCCTGCAGGATAACCAGAGCCGGAGGATGTTGGGTTGCGATTGCTTGTTGCTGAACTTGGTGCTGGATAGCCGGATCCTAATGGGTAGCCCGAGCCTGCAGGATAACCAGAGCCGGAGGATGTTGGGTTGCGATTGCTTGTTGCTGAACTTGGTGCTGGATAGCCAGATTCTGATGGATAGCCCGAGCCCGCAGGATAACCAGAGCCAGAGGACGCGGGCTTGCGCTCGCTTGTTGGTGAACTCGGTTCTGGATAACCGGATCCTGAAGGATAGCCCGAGCCCGCAGGATAACCAGAGCCGAGGGAGGTTGGTTTTTCATCATCTTGCAATGGAGATGGCAATTTCGGATACAGTGAGCTTGCTGGCATGCCACCGTCTCTCTGGCTCTCTTCATCTCGACGAATCAAATCCTTCTCGTAACTGCTCTCTGCAAACATGTCCTCAACTTTGTCCCATAATTAGTATAAACATAGGAAAGAAACTAATAATCCTGACAGGCATGTCAAATTAATTGGAAATGCAGGAGACATTGTAATTAGACCAATTATTTACAGGTACACTTGTTTAAATACGCTTCATCATTCCAAGATTGTATATTTATGTTAGTGTAAAATGAAGATATTTTCCAACGATTATTATATGTATATGAGAGAAGGAAATTTAATAAGATCTAGAGTGAGATAGTGGAGGACAATGGGAATAAAAGAAGAGAAAAAAATAAGCGAATCTAAAGGGATAAATGTAAAGAAATAAAAATGATAACTTAAATTTCGTTATAAAGAATCGTATTGTAGTCTATCGAAGCTGCATGCAAAATTGTTTACATCGTTTAGTTCTCTTATGAAGAGTTAATTTTCCAAGCTGCTAAACGAGACGATACTTAATTTACAGAACTTACGGTTAAACGAGAATGTTAATAATATAATGCAACAAAGTCAATAAAATATGAATGATGTAGGGAAGAATGAAATGCTATTGTTTATATGCTATATATATTACAAAATCATTTGAAAGTTTAACATCAATGATATTTTTATTAAGCGATTAGAAATATCTTTTATTCTTACATTGTTCAACATAACATAGGATTAAGGAAATATCGTTTTATTTACATATAGAATTATATTACCATTACTATGAAATCGCAGTTTCTTTTAAGTAATTAAAGCAAATATAATATGAGTATTATAATATAAAGAATATATAGAATATCAAAAATTTATTATTGTAATTAATATAAAATTCGACCGATACAATCACTGAAAATTATTTATATATTTCTGAATCATAAGTAGATCTTAAATTGCTTTTCTCACTCTTCGCCAATGAAATTCTTAAATTTATATTCATTTCTATTCGCGAAACATCATAACATTTACATCGCCTTCATTTATGCTATAGTTTATTAATATAATGATCATTAAGTTTGTTTCATTCGATTAAGTAGTGATTGAAGAAAGAGGAAACAATAAAGTTCACCTATCTATTCACACCACACCGTTAGAGTCTATCAATTCTCACGAGCTGTAAAACAAAATGTTTTGCATAAAAGAATTTACTCTCATTGAATACGTCAACGTACTCTACTGAAAACATATTTGACAACAACAACAACAACAACAACAAAAATGACTTCTTACTCTAACGTAACCGAACGGACTAATAAATATATGCTCTTTCAACTTTTCATTTAACTCCGTGAATCTACTCATATCTATGTACGACTCGAATGAATTACTCCACTAACACTACCATACCGATAATACAACCATCGAATCATCCAAACAGCAATATAATAGACATCGCTCTCCGATCTAAACAAGCGACTATCCCGAGAATGTCCAAACCCTATTGCCCTTGGAATCCGTGGTCGTGTGACTCTTGTAATAATCTTTGCCACCGGGATAGTAATTGGATGGGGGCGAGGGTCTGCTTGTCGACCTCTGGTATCCGCCTCCGCCCCCGGTGCTCGACCTCGCCCGGCCGCTGCTGCCACCGCCTCCGAAAAGCCGGTCCCAGATGGAGTTGCTGCCGATGCTATTGCGATCGCCCGAGTGACCTTGGCTTCGGTTGCCGAACGAGGAACTGCGTGGCGGTGGAGTAGGTATCACCGGTCTCGGGGTCACCCGCGGACGTTCGTAGCCCGGTGGTTTACGTGCCGCTGGAGCTGTCGAATTTGGCATTTTTTGATGGATTTTGGCATGGGTACTCTTTACTTAACTTTGTACGCTTTTCTTACGCTAATGCATATCTTTTTTTTTCTTTCGTTCGTTCGAATGACACTTTCGATGATGTCGTGAAATCGTTTTTTTTTTTTCATTGTTTATCAGTGAAGAAGATTGTGGATTGCGTCGTAAAAGGTTATCGTTACGGCTTTCGAAACATTAATGAGTTCACGGAGGTCAAGGAGATAAGATATAAAGTAATAACGCAATATATCGTGGGATATACCGCGAATGGGCTTTAATTTTTTAGTAATTGCTAAATTAGGCGTGAGGCATCACGTTGATAAGTATATTCGATCGTTAATGTTTGATGAGAGAATAAAGCAGAATGTGTATGATAAATAATTTGAAGGTCAATTTTTTATGTGAATAAAACAAGTAATGGACCAAGGTTATGTATAATATATAATAAGTTGATGTTAGTCCGGACGATAAAATAATATGTTTCATAAATTAAATTGCCTGAGTGTATTTTCAAATAAATAAATAATAACTATTACTGTATAATTCTTTTTTAATAATACTAATGCAAGTATATTTAAGATTTTATATGATAAAATAACATTGCGTGTGCTTGACACTAATAGTCTTATATAACATTATTAAGGTGTTTATAATAAATCAGATAGTGATTTATTACTGTATTATGAATTGCAATAGAATTATTAACAATTCACAAGGATACATTGCCGAAAGCGAAATATTGTATATATCAAATTAATTGACAAAATTTTTTCATTCGTTTCACTTCAATTTCACTATGTGTCAATTAATAAATTGATTTATTATTGAAATACATATTGGATGGATAACAATCAGCAAAGTTCAGAAAATAATATAGAGATGGCACTACAGGTATTCATCCACTATGATTTCTATTAAATTAAATTTTTCTGCAAATCATTATCAAATATGAATCATTATGAAATAATTATGAATATTAATAATCATTATGAAATATGAGTACATTCATTTATTTAATTCCTTACTTTTTTGTATTTTCATTTAACTCCATAAATCTAAGCATATTGATGTATGGCTGGAGTAGTAAAATTATTAAAGTGCAAAGGTAGTTTTTATACAATGTTTTACTAAAAAAATTTTATGAAAAAAAATGTTTAAAGGCACTCCAATTAATGAAACATTATTAATGTTGAGAAAGTCATAATAATTATAAATATAACACCTTATATTTAAAAGATGAAGAATCGAAATTTCAAAGGAAATTTTTCGGTAGTAAAAATATTGACATTCTATGCTGCGATTATTAATAGGAATTGATAATTAATAATTATTACTTAGTAGTAAAATAGGAGATATTTTTCAAACAGTATTAATAAAGTAATATTAATGCACTATTTACTAGCGCAAACAATTTTACGAAGATTAAATGGTTTCTTTTAGTTATGTAAACAAGTTTTAAATCATGGCGTACAGCTCTTGTATTATAAATATAAAATATCTCTACACATTAATCCATGTACAATATTATTACTATGTATAGCCTGTAGAAAATTAAAAATCTTTTCTTAAACACAAAGAGTTTACTCACTATTAAAATATTTAACTCATATTTTAATTGGGTCTAATATGTTCTGAAAATTTATTTTAAACTAATTGCAAAATATTAAAAATGTTACGTATATTTGTAACAAGTGAGAGCTCCAAAAGTATTAAAAATAAATGTAAAAAATAAGGAATTTTAATACATATACTGTATCAAGTACACAACTTTTCATTTATGTATTTTTTTTTTTAAGTACCGATTCGCCAAGTCTATTTCAATAAATATACAATTAATATTCTAATAAATTAAAGTAAACAAATTACATTAATCTGGCTGGTTCAAAATTTTATGCGGTACTGACACCTAGAAAGGTGGATATTATACAATAATGCAATCGCATTAGGTATAATATTATAGATAAATATATTTCATAAATTAAAACAGAATCGTAAATTAAACTACTTTTAATTTTATTATTAAGAAAGCATATATAAGTAACATAATGCTATCGTTCTTTCAACTGCTCAGATATTCTTATTCACTCCTTAAACATGTATACAATAAACTTTAATAATTGTTTTTACAAATTTATTACTTCTTAACTGGTTATTTATCTACATAAAAGGAATTTACATATTTAATTTATCATTATCTGCAAAATAATATCTAAACAAATATTCATGGTAATACTTTCTTTTCTTTTACACTTATCCAATAAACTTTCAATTATTCAAAAATGAAGTGTACTATTATACTGTCGCACTTATCATTTTTCTGTATATATTTATTCTTTTGGTATTTCGGTTTTATAAGTCTGTTTACACTGGATTTTCATTTTAATAAAAATAACGTACACGTATTTGTCTGTGAACAGTTATCATTTCTCATAAGTGTTGTTACTATCATTTTATTCTCTTTATATAATTTTAAAATTTTTAAATCAAATTTATAGTTGTATTTGTTACTTCGAGTAATAAATTTCGTTTTGATATTTTTATGCAATTAATTATTTTGCTAACAATTACATTCATATAAATTTAATACCACATAGTTATGTTTATTACCTTACGTGCTATATTATTGAAAGTTAAAAATTTTTTTAAATAATTTAAACTTCAAATATAAATTGTCTTTATATATCCATTCACAAGTTGTTTTTTTTCTTCTTAAGTAGCACTACACGTTAATAATAAAAATCGGTAATTATGTAATCGAATATTTGTGGTAAGAAAAGAACGACATTAAATATTAAAATATTACGTTGGCAATATTACGCATTTATTGCTATTTTATCACAATCGCAACATGTCGATATTATAAAGATGAAATATAAATATTTATTTTTACGTATACTGACGTTTGAGAATTATAACATTCTTAATTTATCTGAAGAAATAGTAAACAGCACGGCTTATAAAGTTGCTTAATTATGCATTTACCAGCATGATGCAATAAAATTTACGTGTATATATATATATGGAGTAAGGCACATACAGACGTTCCGATACATTTTTCACAAAATTATTAACAACTACTATATTTTACATACGCAATAATTGGAAAAAGCATTAGGATTAAGAAACAGCTATTTTTGCAAGTAACAAGCCTGCTTTCGAATTTCTAAATGAAAGTATGTAAAGTATGTTCGGGTATCGTGGCTTAATAGACAGGGGGGAAAAAAAGGATAAATAGAAACAAGAAACAATGAGTAAAAGATCTAAAAATCTTCATTTAGAAAAAAGTCCCTTAGTGAGAACAAACATTAAATAACCTTTTCACGTACACAATCGTACAGCAACTTATAAGCGCAATAGTAATGTTCTCGTTCAAGACAATACTTTCGATAATTCTATATATACACATAATACAGGCACGCCCGCACACACTTGTGGTAGCTCATTATTATCAAAGAACAAATGTATCTCTGAGATAAAGATCTCTTGGATAATGAGAAACTAATAGAATACTTTCTCGGCCAATGCTACGTCCCATTTCATTTATGCAAGTACAACTAAAATTACATTCTTAATACCCTAAGGCTAAAAGCGCTCAACATAAAGGATCCAAACAAAAGAAGTCCTGAAATATCGAAGATAGATGAAGCTCCGCTCACTCTGAATATGTTTTTCGAATAAGCGTTATTCCAACCGGGATTATGTTGTGGCAGATTGTGTTGAGGATAAGTGTTGTGATATCGATTATCGGGGGGGTGCCCGGAAGCCGGAGGATAAATCGGATAGCCGTATCGATCAACAGGTACAGCAGGCCTGTTGTTATTATTGTTGTTGTTATTGGTGTTACCACTGCTCGGGTATTGCGGGTAACCGTAATTGTTGTTATTGTTGTGGTTGTTGTTATTCGAGGGATAAGCCGGATAGCCATAATTATTGTTGGCGCCCGGGTAAGATGGGGGCCCAACGTTGTGGCTCACAGGATGAGGCGGGTAAACCGGATTGATATTGCCGTAAGAAGGATAATTGCCGTGACGGTCGAGTTCTTCAGACGGTGCACTAGCGTGTGCGTACGGATTCAAATTAGTGTTTCTTGGCGCAGCCGGTGGATCAGCTGGAACTTTGGGCTGCTCATCCGTTACTGTCCGTTGGCCATTCACCGCTGACACTCCAGCCGATTCATATGCTGAAAGTACAGAGTTTTTTGTTTTTTTGCCATTTTTTGCCTTTATTGGATTCTTCGTCAATTTCGCAATACCAAGAGCCGGTTGTAAAGTTCAGCCAGAGAAAATGTCATACGGGCAATTTTTACGTATTTGCTTACTCGATGGTTTTTACGCATCTCTGTGCGAATAAAATACATACTCGCTTTATAAGATTTGCTATTTGGTTCCTTTTACGAATTCGTAGTGTATTTCTCTGGGTGCCTTCTTAACGAATTCAAGCGATCAAACATAAACTACGATAAAATCCTCACTCAACATTAGTAAAAAGGCAAAAACCAATTAAGGAAATTAGCAACACATTACATACAGCGTTAAATCAAGAGGAATTGTAATTTACATATAAATGGATTTCTTTTAATAATTATAAGTGAATTATCGTGCTACCATCATTTCTTTGTGCATCAGCGTGTCTTTCTTTATATAAAGCCTTACTTTACGATATTACTAGAGAATATAACGTGCGAGATTGCACACGAAGTATGAGGTTTGGTAGGGATAATTTGGTATGTAATTTTCTAATTTACCATCACCATCTAATAGTACAGAAAGTGCCTTACGTAAAAACTGTTAACCAAACACAATATCAACTATACAAATAACAATGTCAGCCAAACTAAATAATTTACTACGTCTTATACTAATGCGCAAGCTTATGAAAATGAAAATAAAGCAACGATTTCTAGATATAAATAACGTAGGTTGAAAGGAAACGTTTCATTTCTTGCGTTAAGAGTTAACGGCTCATAATTTTTATATTTTTTTAACCATCCATGGTTATCCATGGTAAGAAAATTTCTAAAAATATTGACTATCAATGTATAATTGGTAAAAATATAACGTAGCTTGATATTAAGATACGATATAATACTAGAAACTAAATTCTTTATCAAAACTAATAACATGTATATCTCTCAAGTCTCAACAAGTTTTTTCCTAAATTAGTAATTTTTTTGTTTGTTTTTTTTGTTTTGTTTTTTGTTTTGTTTAACAGTGTATTCGATAGATATGGAATATGCTCTTGTTTTCCTTCTAGGAAACTTTATTCTTATTTCTTATTTATAATTGATCGATTATGTTACTTGTGTTAAATAATCTATTATTTGTGACATTCCCATTGAATCGGTTAATTATAACATTAATAAAAATTAAATTATGCAATATTGAATGGAGATACTGAAGCGAGCTTGTAGCATCGGTTAAATAAGTATTAGTAACGAAAAACGTCAAAAGGTGCTAGTCACTAAGTGCAAAAAATAGAATAGGAAAAGGGCTTGTCCTATGGAGAAATTGAACGATTCACAGTTACAGTGTCCACATTTAGCACATATAAAATTATATAATCGAACGAGCATGCAGTAACGCACGTGTATAATAACTCAACTGAAATTTCAATGACTGTAAATTACATTTTGTCATTTAGGCCTTTATTATTATCATTGCTTAATCAACTGATGTTCATATATAGATATATATGTCGGCAGTCAGCGAAGCTCCGATTTCACAATAGCTATTGTAGTCCTTATTTTATAAATTATCAAGAACTCTGTTCACTTTTGGATTCACATGGGAAATCTTTTTTCTCGTGTATATGTATATCTTTTATTGAGAACACAAGTTACGTAACGTACATCGAAAACAGTTAAGCCCTATACACGTTATAAAGCGTTACAGAAATATCATACTTGAAGAAACTCGTCGCGGAAAATTGAATTCTCACTGAAGTGTACAATCGCATTGAGGATTCAACCTTCCTTTTAATATAATTTTATATATGTTACTTAAAAAAGTACACGCTTACTCTGTCGTAAAATCATATTATTGCGCTATTGTAAGTCTTACTACACATAACAAAATATATAGATATGTATATAATGAGAAGAATTGGGTTTGTTATAAAACATTATAAGGACGATTTTTAAAAATATAGTTTGTTAAATTTCATAATTTTCAACAACTTTGTAAAGGAATCAGGACAACATATTTTTGCAACGTTAATTTATCGAACGAATGCGATAACAAACTATCATACGTGCAACGAAAGAGCAAATATCAAATAAATCTTTGATAAATCTTACCTAAAGCGGGTGTTGTGTTGATGCAAGTTGGCCTTCCATTTTCTGTTTTACAATATTGACCAGTCGGGCAGATTTTTGTTAAGCAGTTCTCCGCTATATTAATCAACATTTCAAGATTAAAGTTAATTAAAGTTATCATCGATATAATTCATATTTCATATCCCTTCCGAAATTTGCTTGCAATGAATAAGGAAATGAAGCGTTTAGCAAAAATCTGCGTGTACGAGAATTACGAACCTCCACCATTGGAAAGTTGACAGGTTGGATAACGACCGCATGAATCGCGTTGATATATAGAGCAGGGATCCTCTGCCATCACGCATACTTCATTGGAGCGGCAGCCGATATCTTTGCAGCTTCTTCCATACTCTAAGAGCGAAAAGCATTTATTTTAATGATCCGTGCCGCTGTCGCTTCTTCTCTTCTTTTTAACTTAAGAATGCAAGAAGAATTTATTCTACTAAAATTATCCAACAGAAAGAAATTGTTACATTTTTCCAGCAACTTGTGGCCGCTGTGCATATGCATACAAATGCACGTTTGTTTGTTTATGTGTGTGTGTCTCTCTCTGTGTGTGTGTGTGTGTGTGTGTGTGTGTGTGTGTGTGTGTGTGTGTGTGTGTGTGTGTGTGTGTGCGCGCGCGCGTGTGTGTGTATGTGTGCTCGTGTGTGCGTGCGTGCGTGTGTGCGTGTGTGCATGTGTATTTAAACGAATAATTCACCTGTTTTATAAGGGAAAAAATAGGAGATAATGTGAAATACATTTTATTTGGTATTTTTCAGTTTAATGATACATCGATTCTCAAATATTTAAAAATATTTAAATAAACTTATCTTTACAATAAGACGCGCATATAATAAAATGTAGACATTACTTATAGAACAAAACGTATATTTAATCTAATTAGCGTTGTATCTAGGACGATCTCCATTATACTTTAACCTTCTTTTACTTTATACATAAATTTATATAATTATAGGACATCGATTCGTTTATTTTTTCCTTTGTTCTAACAATACTTTATTATTTTAAATATCAAAACAATATTTTATAAAACATTATATAATGTAAATTATTCTTTTGAAAAAATTCTAACAAAAACTATTAAAGCATTTTTATTGCTAATATTCATTCAATCTTCAACAAACCATTTTAAGCATTAAAAAAAAATAATAGTTTTCTTTTCATATATTAAACCACTAATAATAAAAACAAAGTTTTCATTGTCAGACAATCTGAATTTTTCCATTATACAATAAGTATCAATTGATTTGTGTTTATTAAATAATATATTTTTGACGAATCATAACCTATATATAATAAAATATTTTTATGTAAAATTTTGTTAAATTAAAAATTATTATATATATATTTATAGGAATTAAATCGAATTATTTCTTATTTAATATTGTATTTCAAATTGGTTTGATAAAATACGAGAAATTAACAGCCGCCTACATGTTTCTAGTTGTAACTTAAATTTTTTATCGTACTGTTTATTATTCATACATACATATTATTCTATTTTAAAAGAGTTAAAAAATTAAAGTATTAAATAATCATCGCAAACATTTTATAAATTGAGATTAGTCTATTGCTAAATAAATTAGCTATTCAATGCTAAATATTATAGATATATACATAAAAAGATTTGGTCAATTATAAATTAAAATTCTTTTCAATAATTGCATAAACATAATAAATAATATTTATTAACATTTAAATAAAATCACTCACTAGAATAAGGAACTGCATTCGTTGTTGTAATGAGAATCCCGCAAAATATGGTGATTACCGAGATCGACAACATTTTCTGTAAATCAAGAATAGCACATATAAAAAATATAATTACATCATTCAAGAGGCACATGAATATATAAGCTCTATGTCGTCGCGTATTATTTCCTTGGCCTCGCTAATTACCCGTACAATTACGCGTATAAAAGTCGCTAGGGCCGCCCGGTTTGACTAACTAAGTCCTAAGAAGAAAAATAAACGCTACCTTGTAAGAATCATAATTAAAATTTATTGAGGCTGAATAAGGAAGAAAATGTATGAATGCTATTAAGTATTCTTCTATGCCGTTCGACAAAAGCAAAAATTAAAGACAAAATGATATATCTTGGCAAGTACATTTAATTCTTAAAAAAAATATCATGCAAAAAAAAAATTAAATAAGACGTCGATTGAGCAGCGAAATATCTAGACGTGACGAATGATAGTTTATGTCTTTTTTTTTTTAATCTGTATGGAGTTCTAATCAGTAATGAGAAGAAATGATTTGTGGGCGAGACTTTGAAAGGTAAATGTAACAATAATGGGAGGAAAAAATAAAAAATACGGGTATAAAAAGAGGGGAAGGGGAATAATAAAATAAAAATTCGCTCAATTAATGTGTTCGGGCACTGCCTAAAAAAAAAAAAAAAAAAAAAAAAAAAAAATTTTTATAATTTTGTATATATATATATATATAATTAAAATATTAGATTTCGTGAACGGACATTCGATGAATTTATTTTTAGTTTTTATAATTTAAATGTGTTTTCACAATGTTTGTGTGCAATTCCTACAAATATTCAAATCTTAAACGAAATCATAACAAACAATAGTTTAAATCCAATTATAGATAAAAAAAAAAAAAAAAAAAAAAAAAAAAAAAAAAAAAAAAAAAAAACAAGAAAGGAATGCGTGTATCGGGCGTTAGCTTTAAAATAGATTTAAAATACTTTTATTTTTCTTAACAGTTTCAACAAATATAAATAAATATTCATTAGTTTCAAAGAACACCCATCTACTAATAAATAACGCTACATTTATTGTGATAAAGTGAAAATGAAAAGTAACTTAGTACCATTATAAAAGAAGAATTATAAATGTAATTAAAAATAATTTATTAATGCTTATTAAAGCATCGAGCTTGAAACTTATGAAATAATTTGTTTTTTAAAAAAGAAAGTAAAACAAAATATAAGAAAAATATCTCTTTCATCAGTTGTGAATAATTTTTTCTAATAAAACCAAAGTAATAAAATATCGTCATAATAATTTTAATTCATATTATATTAAGACTTTTTCCATCCAATTTAATTATTTATCCAATTTAATTATACCACTTCAATTTACTTTATCTTAATGTTGTTTTTAACTGTAAAATGAAATATGAACTTTACAAAAGAATAATTAGGAAATTAGAAATAGTTAAAATAGTTAAATTGAATGTCTTTCAAATTTTGAATTGCAAATTAAATATTGGGCCTTGCAGCTTAATTTACAACTCGTGGGTGCATTTATTTTCAGTGAGTTTTTTCGTTCTAAAATCAACATCATTGGTGAAGGTGCGATAAAAAAAAAAGGGCAAAGTCATTTCCAATAATTGTCTGGGAATATGAGTACAATATGCCGTTTCACCTTCATTCGGGATTATAAATCAAGCAAAATTGACACAGAAACCTCCTTAATATCCTTTGTAGCATGTTTTTATAGGGTGCCCTTGTGAAGTTGCAAATGAAACGAGAATCAGCCCATTCTTGTGGCGATGGGACACGACTTAATGTGACCTTATGCTTCGTTATTTTTTCCTTATTTATCGATCAGATTTTACGAGAATATCATTAAAATAATTAATTGCTTAAAGCTTAACTATGATGTTATCTATATTGAGCATTGATCAAAATTCTCGAAGAAGTCATGTCTAAAAACACTAATCATTCACTTTGCCGGATTTAAGTATTCTACACGTTAGTATATTTTTTCATAAACAAATCTCTACATATGACATAATTTTCAATTATTTTCAATTAATTTATATATTAGATATTTTAATAATATGACTTCATAATACTATGGTTAAGCAAATTATACAACTACTAATACATATTATTATATGAATAATTAAATTTCGAGCTTCTGAAATTCAAATTGATTAATAAATAATAATTTTTACATAGACGAAATTTTTTTAACAACACTTATGAAATACCGTTTATCTTCCTTAAAAATTATAAAGAAAAAATCTAGCGATTTGGCCGAAATTTCTATTTTTCTCACAAGTATATTAAAACAAATTGTTCAAATTAATTGTACATCATAATTATTTTCTTGAAATTTGTTAATTAATAGCAACTGGCTATATATATATATATATATATATATATATATATATATATCAAGATAAATAAAACATGTCATACAAAATGCTTTGATACCTTTGATATTTAAAAATAATTCTTAAAATAAAAGAAGCGAGTACAGAAATAAAAAAATATGCTAAGAATTTCATTATATTAATATTTCCAGGATTTACTGAATAATAATTAAGTAAACCAAACAATTCGTCAATTATATGAATCTTACGGCTGTTTGTGTTCATTTACGAAACAATATTTTCTTACTAAGAGTAATTACGAAAAGCAAATTAAATTTTCCGATTAACTTCATTATTATATAGTTAACCAATGTCAAGTTAATTTTCAATTATAATCATTGTTGAATTTGTTTTCATTCATTTCTTATTTAATATCAATTCGTTTCAAAATTTTGTATTCGCCTAGTAATTATTTTCTAGTAATGCTAATAGATTTTAAATATATAGAGTAATTAAAAAAAAAAAAAAATTACAATTACAATAATCATAAGCCTATAGTATTGAATGTATTCAAGTGATTTCAAAGAACATTTAATTTCAAATTCTTAACGTCTAAAATTTACACTTAATAAAATATTTTATGTGAAAGTAGGATCTTTCGGCAAATATGTTTTGTTTGTTTTTATACACTTGTATAATAAGACTGAAGAAGTAATTTAGCAAATTATTTGAAAATTATAATTTTTAGAGATTTTAATGTATTGAATTATTTCGTAAATGCCAGTGTAACAGATATGGTACTATTAATTACCCATTCTTATTCGTTTCAATCACTACATATCGTCTCTTTAGTTTAAATTGTTATCTATAAAATTGAAAAGAAAATTAAAAAAAACTATTGTGACGCTATAGTTAATAAAAATATTCAATTTTCTTGAAACGAAACACATTTGATAACAATCTATAGATTCTTTATATCTATACTGAATTATAAACATACTTAATTTGTAAACATTTAAATTTTAATATTTCTATTAATAATAAGATTTTTCTTAAAATTATTCGATAAGTCACTGTATTATATAAGGTTTACCTGTCTATATATATATATATATATAGAAATATAAATTATATTAAATAAGCCCATCGTCATCTTATTCGTTATAGGCAGTATTGAGTGACAGCAGGTGCTGGCCATTCCCTGATATTTTAGCAATCGACACGATATAATTATTAAAATAAATAAAAATTAGAAACAGAGACACAACTATATTATAAAATAAATTGGTAATGCTCAGGGTTTCGTAATATCATTCCAAATGCATTTAATAAAAAAGAAAAAAAATGTTATATGTCAAAGTCGCGGGTACTGGTAACTTTTATGTTTTAAGTTAAACTTGAGCATTCAAAGTAAGCTTTCCGACTTAATTTTCCTACAATTTTAAGCCTCTTCTTTGTTTTTTTAATATTTTTGTTTTTGTTTTTTTACTTCAATGTGATTTTATCCCTGCAATAGTAAACGAGGAAGAAGGTAAAGCGAGAGAAATGGAGAATTGTGAAAAACGAAGAAACGGCCACTTTATACGCGATCCTCGACATTTAAATTTCCCAGCCACCATCCCCTCCACGACACTTATTTGCTCGAGTGCGCTTCACTGCCGTAAATGCGGCTGAGGGCTAATCGTGCATTCAATGAGAAAAGTAACGCAAACGCAGCGTCTCAATTGCTCAATGGAGGGATCGTGTCACGAGATAGGAATTTTTAATAAAGCCATTGCGAGCATTGGACGAGAAAAGCGACACGATAGTGCGTTGCTTCACAAGAAATCCACAAGTGAATATCGCGATAAATGTGAATTATTAATAATATCAATGACGCGGTGCATTTCGTTATTTTGCAAAACGGCAGAGCTGAAAACACGCCACTGGCACTGACTCTGCGCAAAAATCGTCGACGCATTAATCCCCCTAAAACATTGAGGTCGGCCACCTCCTCTGCATCAGCTTGGATCAACGGCTCGCGTCATCGATACGTAACCGTCTCGCCCACCCACCAGCCAGTCTCAACCAGCCAGCCACCCAAGACAACAAGAAGAGGCGAAATGGCAAATAAAGACGAGAGAGAGAGAGAGAGAGAGAGAGTCGGCTGGGAGGGCTGGGGAAGAGGAGAAGGTGGAGACGATGGAGGAGAGTGGAGTATGGGATGTCGAGTCGATCGAAAGGATAACCTTTGTGCACCGCTACTTCCGCGGCGTCCGTAAAGGAGAGACAGGGAGGAAGGAAGGAAAATCGCGCTATGACGTGGGTACGTGCGTACGTGCGCGGAATTCCGCGATCGAGCAACTGCAAGGCCATTTAGCAGGGCCGCGGCACCTGCGGCTGCGATTTCGCGCGCGGGGCCGAGCACGAGAGGAGGGAAAAAATAAGGAGGCTAACGAAGGTGCGCGGCGGCGAACGGGAGCGCGCACGTACCCGAGAAGTAAGGTTATGCACGCTCGCAAGTGCGCGCGCGCACGGGACGCAACATTGGCGCGGGAGGGAAAAAGGGGGACTCTGATCGTCCGATCGGCTCCGGCACGAATATATTTTTATCGATAATTTTTACGCACCTCTGGCGCTCGCTGGCCCTCCTTGACTCCGTGCGTCTATACTATGCGCGCGCGCGCCTCTACGTAAAGGCGTAATGGTACGCGATGTAAACGCGACGATAGTTAGTTTAGCACTGGGTGTCGAGTGGCGATGTGGTGGAATTTCACGGCGTATACAGCGAAGAAGAGCCATTGGCAACGTCAACGACAATCGCTGCGGCGGCGCGGTGGGGGAGCACCGAAACGAGACGCGCAAACGAGATGGCGGTGGTGGTGGTGGTAGTGGTGGTGGCCGTGGTGGCGGTGGTAGTGTCCCATATCCGCGCGCATGCCAGAAAGAGACAGAGAGATGGACGACAGTCGTAGTGGGGGAGGCCCACGAGGCCACTCGGTCACGTGAGTCGCACGCGGCAAACGGGCGATCGCTCGCGATCCATATATCTAATGCGGAAAGAGATCTATGCAAATGGTGCTGGGACATGAGAGAAATCCCGTGTGCGTAGAAGGACAGAGAGTCGAGGATACTTTGGTTTTGTCAGACTTACGTCCGATAATCGTGCGTGACGTTTAATAAACCATGTGCGGCAGTGACGATTCTCGGCTCGAGCGGAACAATTAGATTAGTGCAACGAATGAGTAGTCGACGTGAGCGAATCCGAGCGGGCAACATGATTTTTTAAATCAAATGGATTAATGCGCGCATGATTTGCCGTTGAAAGGAGCGAGTAATAATTCGTTCGCAAATCGCACGCTTCTGTAATGCTATATAATGTTGCATTAGATACACGTTAAGAAGCTCTTATACTCCTCCTATTAACTAATTACATTTTTCTATACTTATTACACACATTTGCTATCGTAAATTAAATTAAGCGATACTTAAACATTTCTTAAATAAATGGATAAATGAACAAATCAATAAATAAATAAATGATCTATCTGATTTAGTAACGCGACTTAATCTACTTTTTTCTTAATTTTTTTTTTTCTTAACGCCAATAGCTAAATGACAATTTATTAATTGATGGAACTGAGAGAAACCCGTTGATACGAGAATGGTAATAAAATTAATTGAATGCAGAAGAATTAAGGAATGAAAGATATTAAAAAAAAAAAAGAAAGAAAATTTCTAGTCCGTATAAAATGTTTTATTTATATCTTCATTCGATTGGTTAAAAATTTCAAAAAATCCATTAAAAAATAAGCAGAGCATCTATGGCGTTGGGTTGAATGGATATGCGTAAAAACAAAATTTTTATTTCGATAATGCCTCAATGAAAATTGTAGCATGAACAATAGAAGTAATAACTACTGAGCTTAAATCAATTGTAAAAATAAGATCGAAACTTAATAGAAGAACAAAAAGGGGGGCATCTAGGGAAAGGGATTTATTATCTCTCTCCCGTTCCGCCATCAGAAATAACGAATCCACGCGATTTCTCAATTATTTCTGATCAATTTATGGCATCGAAGGAAAAAATGTTGGGAAAAAAAGTGAAGAAATCACGTATCTGCATTAGCGATACCGAAAATTTACAGTATGCCGAAAAAAGGCTGAAGGAAAAACTGGGGAAATTGCAGCTGGTGCACGTACAAGTGTCCCTACCAGCCGATACTCATATAACTTCAGGAATGGTAGTTACCGCAAATCTATCTTTACAGTGCCCACCATAAAAAGAAAACAGTGAGTGGTTTTAATATATGCGAGTCGACTGGAATCAACGTAGACGATAAATCTGGTTGGAAAAACTTGATTGGTCGTTGTAAATTTTTATTTAATTTCAAAAAATTCTGCAATGCTATTGTAATAAAATCATAATCATAATGGAGATCAATATAATAATTATTATTGGTGTACTTACCATTATATTCGTGCTCTATAAAGATTTGTCAAAAGTCCTAGGCAATAATGTTACAATTACTACAAAGATTTACAAACGATACGAGGCAATGTTTATGTTGCTGTTGATCAAAAAGTTGATCAGGCAAAAATATTGCTGTTGATCGTTGAGTAAACAATACATCGCTCGTAATAAATAATATAATTTATAGATTTCACAAAAGTATTAAAAGAAAAAGCAATATATAGAGGAAAATATAGAGTTTTGAACTTGAAATTGTTATATCATTATTAAGAATAAATGCATAGAATGTGGCATATTCACTAATTAGTACTGAAAAAATTCTAAATTACAAAAGTAACGAACCATGAAGATTTAAGCGTAGTAGATCATCATGAACTGCTTTATATGAAATTATAACATATAATTGGAATAAAGTAAAATGATTTTCATAAGCTTTGCTGATTAAAGACTGTAAAAGTCGATAGCGATCAGAGATATAATTATCGATTTATTTTAAAAATTACATTTCTTCAGCATCCATTGATTTTAAATGATTGCACAAATTGATGCTAATAATTTTAAAAATATATTGAAACAGAACTAAGAACTTATAAAAACTACAGTAAACTATAATAGAACAGCACTTCGATAGAACATTATAAATGTCTTACAAAAGAGCAATCAATATAAACAAACGAATTATAAATAAAATGTGAAATACTCTAGTAAACTAAAAATACAGAACTAAATTATGAATTCTATTTTATTAAATTTGATTAATAATAGAAAATAATAATCTTTGCCGGTGATTAAAAGCTAATATTCTTAAGACTTTATCTGAAAATTCTCCATATTCCGGTAAACAATTTTAACAGGCTTCATAAGTTTCAAACAATCGTTAAAAAAATGAAAATGAATGACTAAGTCAATTATTCATTACTGAACGCCTGCGGTATATCGAAATAAAAAAAAATTATTTAAACATTCATGTTGAAAAGTGGTAAGATATTCAGATTATAACTACACAATTGAAAATATTTCAGGATATTTAAATGATATTTCAAAAACAATTAACTTATTTATAAAAATTGTATAATTTACATAAATTTTTATATTCAAAAATTAAATGTGTTGATATTTATTATAATAGAAATACAAATATCCTAATACTAATTTTACCATCATAAATCATTTATTATCAATTCTGTTATTTTATTTCAAATGACACTTATATTAATTAATAAAATATCAATTTAATTTTAATTATATCTAATACTCAAAATGGTTGGAGTACAGTAACTAGTAAATTTTATACTGTAAATGGAATGTTTATTTACACTTTCAACAAATTTGTAATTAAATAACTTCGGTTGTAAAAAGAAATGGTAAATATTTACTACACACACATACCTTATGTATGTATGGTGTGTGTGTGTGTGTGTGTGTGTGTGCGCGCGCGCGCGTGTGTGTAGTAAATATTTACCATTTCTTTTTACAACCAAATATATATATATATCGTTTATTTATTATCCAATTTTAGTTTTTTAACCAAAAATGTGAAACTATGACAAATGTAATCATTGAGTTAAATAATTCATTTTATTCATAGACGAATTATAAATAAAATTTATCAAATATGAAGCAGGATTAAATACAGTAAAAGATATATTAATACTTAAATCATTATTACTTTTAAATTGAAATATTATTCCAATTAATAAATTTATAGAATAAAAAGTAAATTTTTGCCTCAAAATATTAATAAAGTTTACAAATAATTATAATTGCTATGATCCAGATAGAAAAATTAATGATTATATCTATGATTTGAAATTGTTTAATAGAGTTTATAATAAGAATACACTATAAATTAAAATTTAATGGTATATCAAACTTTATTAATATTGAATACGTCAAATAATGAAATAAGCGGTTTCTAGAGAATAAATAACATAAATAATTATACACAATAAGCTGATTTATAGAAAGAAACTGACTTGGAAAATAATACTATAAATTACTTTTTCAATTTGAAAGACCATCAGATAAATTGCCAATTTCATAAATTGAAATATAATATTAAAAATTATATAATATTAAAAATTAAAAGAACACTGTATATATATATATATATATATATATATTTATATATATATATATATATATATATATATAAATGGTAAAAAATGTTTAAACATCCTTTTTATACAATTATTTATATTTATTACACATTCGATTTTTCCTTTCTTTCTTTATTGTGTATATCATGTATAATTGCTTAATTTATTCAATTATCTTATAAATTATAGAAATTTTATTATAAGACTAGGCTACATTTTTTCTAAAATTATTTTTGTACTTAAAAAAGTATCTACATGAATTCTTGTTAAATTGTTTAGAAAGCATTAGAATAGATAATTCAAGATCACCTTTAATTTAAAAATATATCAATTATTTTAAAAACGGTATATCTCTATTTTCTTTTTCGTTTAATTTATGGGTCAAATAATTAAATTACAGATTTTTGAAGAACAGCTTCGGATTTCTGGCGGTACTTATCGTTTGGAAAGACTTTTAACACTGGTTCGTTGGTATTAAAAGATTAACGTAAATATAAATTTGAGAGTGACTGAGAGATAAATGAGAAACGGCGGAAAAAGGAGAAGAGCAAAAAAGAAAAAAAAAAGAAAAAAGAGAAGAAAATGAAAAATCATAAAATAAAACATAATTAGAGAAACATTTTTAATAATTTGAAACGACAAGAATTGTAATGAATGAGTTGAATCGAACAAGATTTGACATGAATAAGTAGTAGATAATAATTGGAAAAAATTAGTGATCACCACGTGGAAATATAAATCCACAATAAATTTACTAGATTGGAATAATGTACGATAGGTAATAATATATACTAAGTGACATTATGTATATAATTGCTTTTAATAAATTGATTACTCGACTGTTGGAGATATCTTGAATAATTTTTATTTTAAATTTACTATCAAGGACATTTCAAATCATTGTTAAATAATAAGCAAATATTTAAATATTGCATAAATATAACGATATTATTTCAATAAAAGTCTGATTACATAGTGTGCTCTTTATTATTAATTAATATTAAAGGCTTAGATGAATTTAAGAATTATATATATATAAGAAAATATCATGCATAGCGCTGTATTAAAATATCGATACTCCGACATTAATAAAGAAATAAAATAAGCCACTATAATTCTTGTTTTTTTTTTTTTTTTTTTTTTTTTTTTTTATGTTTAAGAATAATAACGGATGAATTCAATTTATCCACTGCATTTATAATGTGGCATAATTCACTATCGGTGAAGAGGTAGATAATGCAATTTCCATTTTGTTACTTCAAAAAAAAAAAATGTATCTGTTAG